TTTATGTCATGTCGACGAACCCTGATTGTTCTAAGGGGTGAAAACTACCCCTAATTGTCAAAAATTATAAAATAACATATTAAACCTGAATATGGGTAAAATTTGGTTTGAATTAATTAAATAATGATAGTTTCGTGCTTTTGAATAAAGTTCCATCATATTTTAACCCTTAAAAAGCGACCCTTATTAGAGATTAATATAAAAAAATTAGTAATGCGAGAAAATGATTTCACCTTGGAACGATTTGCATAAAAATTTGGAATTAAGCTCAACTCACCCTCTGCTTTATAGTTTATGTCATGCCGATGAACCCTGATTGTTCTTAGGGGTGAAAACTAATTTTCAAAAATTGTAAAATAATATTATAAATCTTAAGATGAGTGAAATTTGGTTTGGATTAGTTAAATAGTGATTTTTTTATACTTTAAAATACAAATTCATACATTTTCAACCCTTAAAAATCAATTGTTATAAGTGCTATAGGTGAAAACAATTTTTTGCCAAAATTTTGCAACTTTTCAACTTTTGAAAATCACCCTTTACAACATTGCAGTTTTTATAAACTAATTTATAAGATATAAATTGAAAAAAGTAGAATTAAATACAAAAAAATTTATCAACATAAAAAGGCACCATATATTCTTATACATTTACATAAATAGTTGAAAATATTTACATTTATAGGTAAAACAATTGTAATATTAGTTTTATTCGTCATCAATTACATCTTCATCGTGATCTATGTCATCCTCATCTTCAATTATTGGTGGACTATTATTGCACCCTTCACCTGAGCACCCAGAACAAGTAGAGTTACAGTATAAACCAACTTTTCTGTACCCACATGAAACACCGCATCCTTTTTTGCATTGCCAAAAAATAATTTTCAAAAGTTCATCGAGTGCAGGTTGTTTGTTCATGCGTACGGGTAATAACAAACCATCTTTGGAATACCATCCCCAATCTGTTGCTCTAATATTTTCATTGCCAAGCCATAGACATATGAGCAGATGTTTTATTCTTTTGTATGGGATTTCAAAATAAGAACGCTTAAAATTTCGAATGTATAACGCCCCACTAGCTAATATACCGGTTTTGTAGAATACTATGCTCCGAAGTGTACTGTACTATACTAATAAAATTTTCCGGAAAAAAATTCACTGGTTTTTTTAACGTATTTCCTTTAATTTTTAACGATAGAGTGTTTCTTCAAAAACGATTTGTAGAGGTTTTTAAGAGCTACAAGAATCTGTGAATTAAATCTTTTTGGAACCCTTGGTTTTTAAATGGAGTGAGTTTAAAGGGATCGAAAAAGATAGTGCTTGATCGTAAATCGATGCTTTAAACGGCTATATCTTGCCAAATATTCATTGTACAACAAATCTAAATGAAGGATAATTTTAGTCATTAAAAAAGCTACAATTTGGTAATTTGTATTTTTGTTATATATTCAGTATTTTCGGGCATATTTAAAAAAAGAAGGGTAAAAAATATGAAATTGTAAATCGTTTCTCGCTTTAAGCTGTACTTTTTATAACACAAAGCATTTTAAATGGGTCAAACTTCTTGGACATATTAACAATACATGTACAAAGGGAATTTCAGAAGGGTGAAGATCGATTTTAATTATGGGGTTGGTTAGGGGGTTGTTTTCATCGATTTTTTCGTAAAAAATGAGGTATTGACCTTATTTTCATCATAACTCACTCAATTTTTCAGCTAGAGTCTTTTTTATGATAGGTCTATTTATGCTCTTTAAAAAAGGTTTTGTGAGTTTTCTTCCAAAAATGCATCATTTTCCCGATATTTGATTTTGAATCTTTCAAATTTGGCATTTGAAGAAAACCGCTGAACATTAATAGGCCGTATTTCGGTTCCTGTTATATCCCAAAAACATTTTAAAAAATGAATTGTATTTGTCTTTTTAAAAGCTACAAATTTGTTCTCTACAATTTTTTTGATAAAATGCACCATTTTCGAATTATTCGCGAAAAATCGATTAAAAACGTGGATTTTTTCGTCCAAAAATTATTACTTTCAATCGCGAATAACTTGAAAAATATCATTTTATAAAAAAAATGTATAGCACATTTTTTGTTTAGAATCACTTTTTTAATCGAAACCTGTAGTTAAAACGTAAAAAAAAATTTCACCCCGGAGATGGGGTGGCAACCACCCCCTAGGCTTTGGCGCACTTTGGTTCGATATAGATTTTGATCCTTAGGCTATTACCTACCCTCTGTTAAATTTCAAGTCAATCCAGGGAGCACGAAATAATTGCGAGGTGAAATTCTTCATTTCCTGGACTATAACTGGTTTGACAGCATAAATCGTAGATTTATGTGTAGCTTTCAATTTTTATGAGTTCAGAATCCAGCAGCCCACTGAAGTATTGGATTTTTATAATATAAATATTTGACAATATTTTGTTGGCCAACCACCTACAGCAGAATTGAGCCGAAATACATTATATTCCTATGTTCCGAATTTATTTCGTTCAATCTGTATAGCTTATATTTTTCGTTTTCCAGTTCGTCGTCTTTTCTTTCGCTTTTGTCGTTACCATATTTTCTGTCCAAGTCCGACTCTCGTCACCGGTTCTTTGGGCATTTTTTTATTTTTATATATGGTAGACCTGTGCTAACCTGCCAACACACAATATTACACTGCTTAATTCTTAATGCCGTACCTCAAAGAATCATGTGGTTGGAACGCAGCAGGCGCAGAAAGGATGATGACTATGTCTGCATCAGATTCTGTCTGGACGACACTAAAACCCACTTCTGATATTGCAGTTTTGTGAAGATCTATTAGGTTTGTTTGGATCTCTACATTCCCAAGAAATTTATGTCGGGATAATGTTGGTACGGTACTCTTATTAAACGTTATCTCTGTCGATTGGTGAGTTTTTTGTTGTCAAAAAAGAGATTGACTATTAAAAAAAAATACAGTATGTTTCTACCTGGTCTTATATTTATTCAACAATAACTAGAATAAATAGAGTGGGGTTTATGGAAAACAGAAAAAGGATCGTAGTTATCACAAAACACAATTATTTTTTTGTAGTTTTAAAATTTATACAAGCGTCGTGTTGTAAAATTACCTTGATTTGCAAAAACTTCATAAGTAAGTAAATCAGTTTTTTTATTCAATTCTGTCATATATTGGTAATCTATATGAGCCGATTTGGAATAATTCATTATGATGATCTCTTGAATTAAAATGATTTACTGTTTCGAGCGACGCGGATTATGAATTACGTTCTTTTCTCGTCATGTCAACATGAGAAAAGTTCTTCACTACCTAGCCAATTCGGCTGCTTGAAAAAACAGTCAACTTTACTGACGTTTTTGACTATTGGCGACGTGCAAGTACTTGGATGTGATACGAGAAACGATCGTGCGCGAGTAGCGGAGAAATCTTGCATTTTTACTGCAAATTTCATATATTTCATAAATTCATAGTGTCAATTGTCATATTTCATATTCGTTTGTTTATTTACACCTTCTGTCACTGAAGAAAATGGGATTTAGGAAATGCTGCGTTATAAATTGTAAAAATACAACAAAAAATTGTCAATTTAAGTTTTATTCGTTTCCAACTTCGAAGCACAAATTACTACAAAGTGAAAAGTGGATTTATATAATAAAAAAACATAAGTAACATAACCTAAATTATGCATTATTCTTGCGCCTGATTTTAAAGTCAGTTTGAAATACATAATAAATAAAAGTTCATTTTAAGTGTAAATTTTAGTTTCATAACACTCACTTAGAGTTCATTTTAACAGAAAAATCAAGTTTAATGTTTAAATTTTATTTTTTTGAAGTTTACAAAAATGCATCAAGTTCAAGTTTTTCTGAAGATGCATTACGATATATTCGCTGTCCAAAAGTTTACAAGGAAAGAATTAATTGTTCAAACCAATATGATGCTATTATGGGCTTAATCTGCTAATTTATGCATTATTTATGGTAATTTATTTTTCTTAATTCTTCCACATAATTCTTCCATCCTTTTTTGACATTTGCCACTACTAAAACTTTTCCATTTGACTCAGTGATTGGTTGAAAAGTTATTTGGTCATTTACTTTCTCAAATCCAGTTTTTATTATGGCATCCATATTAACAGTAATGCTGTATTTTAATAATATATTTATTTGTATTTACACTACATAAATATAACGTTTACCTTTTAATAACATACCGACATAACCTCAATCTTACTTTTTCTTCTTATTCTTTTTTGGGGCTACGTCCTTGACAGTTATCCGGTAACCTCGATCTAACATGAAAGCGCAGTAAATTTTGCTGATTTACGACACCAGGTGTCGCTGTTCCGAACTTGCACGGTCCCAATAGATAGGGGCTTTTAAAATTTGATTTATTATTGCCGCTATTATTGAATAGCGGCAATTTAATTCTTAATTGTTACAAACAATGTCGTATAAAACTTTTTTTAAATCTTTGTCTTGACTTAGATAGACAGCTATACGAATCAATAATATAAAAATGTATGTACTGTATAGGAAGCGCTGTAGCTTAATTATTTTTTAACTCCAAAGTGGCCGTACTTCAAAGCAATAAATATGAGGTTGAAAAACTCATTGAGCAATTATATTTATTTTTACGTCAAAATATAACTAACCAACAAAAGAATCTCCATATTTAAATATTTAGATGTTAGAAAAAAAAGTTCAGGCTTTGTAAAATTTTTAAAAATTTTAAATCTTTTGTAAATAGTTAAACGTACATACCTATCTAAACAAAAAATGTATCGTAGAGTCCGCTTGCTTGGAATATTATTCTTTGCATGTTCTTAAGTTTTTCTCATACCCCTTTAATACAGTCATTTTTGTCTTCCTTATACGCCTTTTATGTTGCTTTGTCTTGGACTGGCCGTTTTGTAGAAACATACATCGATTTTAAGAGAAATTTTTGCCTTTAGCAGTCTATTAGGTCACCGTTCTTTCTTTTTTCCCTTATTTTTGTTTGTTATTCGAAAATCAATATACTTCTTCTCAAACATGAGTTGTTTAACTGGTTCTTATATATTTATAGAGATCTTAAAAAGCACAATTTTTATTTCTAATAAAATTAATTTTTTATCGTTTAAATATTAAAATGTTTTGATATATTGCTAGGGGGATAATTTAAATAACAGTCCCAATTAGATCTATGATCTTTTGACTTATACTTAGTCGAATGAGAAATTAGAGGGTTATAGCATTGTTTTTAAACAATAGTTATAGTGATAATAAGATAAAGTATTAGAATTTTTACATCGCCAAGCAAGTTTGAAGCAGGTGGTTAGTTAAAGAGGCAGGTAGAAGTTACTAAAACATAAAAAATATTATAGCAGTATGGAATAAGATTTATAAAAAAACACTTTTGTTATGTGTGTACATTTTTATTTTAACCATCCTCTTTTAACACATTCTTTCACCATATACCACGCTTTTTCTTTTACTGGTTGAGACATATATTTAAGAAATTTATCTACCGAAGGTAACTCGTCAGATTCGTGTCCTCCTTTTTTCCCATTTACGGCTACAAGATGAAAAAGAAGTGCATGGCTGAACTCATAGGAGGAAACAAATTCCATTTCGTCTAAAAACTGATCGTAGGAAAATTCCAAATTACATTTATGTTTTTTAAGAAAACCAGTTAAGTTTTCATGATAAAAATGAAGTAGATCGTCTAAATGTGGATCTAATACTTCTAGGGGAATACTCGAAAAAATAAAGAAAAACACGTCAGCTGCTGGAGATCCATACTCATAAATTTGTAAATCTACTAGTTTGTTTCCAACGGGGTTTCCATTTTCGAACTTCTGCATAGTGTTATTGGTCCACAAATCTTCATGTACTAAGGTAGCAAATGGCTCTCTCGGTGCAGACTTTGGGATTTCTCCCCAACCATGAATACTTGATAAAAACTGACGGCACTCTTCATTTTCCGCTACCACTGCTTTTAAAAGATTATTTTCACTATTCTCCTTAGGTGGTTGATATACATGGCAGTACTTTTTGACTTTTTCGTCAAACGTCTTAGGATCTTTTAATTTTAGGGATAAGCCAACAGCATGTAAATGTGCAATGTCTTTTAAAATAATTTTTGACGTATTCAAATCGAATCCTTTCACTCTATCGATATTGTTATAACCTAAAATACAAAAGTGGAATTTAGATATTACACTATGTATATATTTGTTATTAAAACAATTTAAATTAAACCATTTATCGTAAAATAGTTTCGAAACACAATTCAGATTTCTGCTTTAATCTGTGCTTTCTAAAAATTGCAAAGCAAAACAAACGTTGATAAAGGTGTTAAAAGAGACGTGGGGAATCTAGAATTTGCATTCCACGACACGTCTTTTCTACTAAGCAGAAATCCTTAGCGAATTGGTTTCTAGTACTCGTACAGAGTATATCTGAATAAAGTGAAACGACAGCAAATATTTGATTTCACGCAAAAAGCGCCTTTGTATATGTTGAGAACACCTTTAAATAACTGTTCTGATGAGACCTATTAGGTCAAAATACGTATCAACAGTATCAACGTATTACATATATTTATCTATTTTAATAAAAATCTGAAAAGCACTTTTTGGATTAAAATAATTGTCAAAAAGATTACATATACCTTTATATATCTAATTATTAAAATTATCAAGATAAACCATCTTATATACTAAAACACTAAGCCCTTTTCTTGTCCACCACTTTACTCAAAAACCATATTAGATAATTAAAATATTTTTTCGGAATATTATTAGTATTACGTATGAGATTGTCAAGATATACTTTTGGTACAAAAATTCACTTCCGGTTTTGAGATGGCCGGAAGTTAAAATTTACTTTAAGTTTTAGACCCCACAATGTATATTTGGAACGAAAGGTCTCGTCGAGACGAATCTAAATATGTACTTCCGGTTGCGATCCGACACCGGAAGTGACCCGAAACGCGCATAAAACGTCAAAATAGAGCATATTTGACACCGGATTCGTGATCAGCATGCAAAATTAACTGCTAAATGATATCCATGTCAACATTTAATGAACTAAAAATTGCATTCCGGTTTTGAGGTCGACTTCCGGTATCGTTTTTATTAAAAAGTAAAAAGTAAAAGTTTACATAATTCCCGGTGCCAAGCAAAAGTTTTCAGAAAATGAAGACATTGTAACAAAAAACATTGCAATATTTCGTGATATTTAATACACTTTTTACTTGCATTATTATTGATGAATGTTATGTATATTCTTGCTTATATTGTTTGAATTGATCTCTTAATTTTTCTCGCAAAATAAAAATTTCATTTAAAAAACTCGATGTCGAGTTTTTCCGCTAGTAAGGATCCTATTCTAGATAGGTAGTTAGAATAAAAAGAATTGGGTTGCATTGAAACTCTTTTTATATTATTTTACATGTAGTGTTTCATTAATACTTGGCTGTTTATTAACTGGCTCTTTTTTGTCTATCTAGGTATTATCTAAAAGTATTAAGTTGTGTGTCTGATGGATAACTTTATAAAGGCTTCAAGCATTGTATAAGATAGATCACATTATGCGCAAAGTAGACCAAATGTATCGGAGACCAAATGCTTTCTAAAGCAGAAGTGAAGATGCTTTGCAGAATACTTTAAAAAGGCATTTTTAAATACAAAGGAAAGAGAAAGCTTAAGATACATATGCAAAGTCTAGAACATCAATAACTGAGTAGTAGTAGAAAAAAAAACAAAGGAGTTAACATATAAACAAAATAGAATATGGACAAATGGCAAGAGCTGCTAAGATAAATCATCTAAAGAATATCGTCTCTAAAAAAGTCTAGTGATAATCTAACTATCTAAGGGCAAGTTGTATGAAGACAAAAGTTATATGAGCAATTTGCTAAATAAAAAAAAAGAAATACTGTGTACTTTTCATGCCTCATTGTATGCAGATGATTTGTTCTTTTTAGATATTAATAGACATCGGGAAAGCAAATATGTGCATATACTTATATATAAATATTTTTGTCGTTTTTTTTTTAATGCAGTTAATACATTTTTTTGGAATATATTACGGTTATTTTACAAAAATAAATAAGAGCCAGCATTTTCTATTTTGTTTTAAATAATATTCTAACTTAATAATTTTCCCTCAACATAGTAGGAAGGTAAGTATATAGATATACTTTTCAATAAATCCCCAGACGTGTATAACCGTAAGTGGACATTACAAATGATTATAAATTTAGACTGGTTTTTACCTCTTAACTAAAAAAATCCTTACGTATACAGATATTTGAGAGGGAACTATCCATTACCATTTATATATCATAAGCAGTGGCCACATGCTGGAGAAGCTAGGATGAGGTTGTCATGTACTACATTCAAGTACCTATTGCAACCTTACAAAACAACGCCTTTTCTGGTTTTCGTTTACTTATCTGTTACTTTTAAACAATAGCGATTGATGAGTATAAACTAAATTTTCAAGACACTGTGATCCCAAAGAATGTTCACAACAACTTACTTCCAAACTACAAAATTATTACCATTATCCGAGTCTATAAAATTTGTAAAGACATTAAAAATTGTTTGAATATAAAATTATTTAAAAATCTTGAAATAAAATGTGACAGAAATAATATTTTAAATGTATTTTTAGGTGTAATGCAAACAAATTGACATAGTACTACAAAAGTTGTACTACGAATCACTTATACTTTTTTACAGATATTAGAGTTAAACTACTAAAAAAATTGTTGTAACATTATAAACGTCGTATGTTGGTTATGTTTCTTTGAATAATTATTTTATTTCAATTTTATTCAATAATCAACATATCTCTTTCATTTCACAATTTTTATTTTAAAAACAGTTGGCGCTCAACTCTTATTAACTTTATATTTTCATTTAGTATTCTAATTCATTTATTTGAACCCCATTATGTTTTATGAGACAGAACGTATATAAACTTTTATGCCTCATTTTAATTGTTTTTCTTGATGTGCCTATCCGTTACGAATGTTATCATATCAATCTTTATCATATCTGCAGAAGCGAGGAAAAGCTGCATAGGTGTTGTATTGAACCACATTCTGATGTTCTTTAACCGAGATGTTCTTCTTCTTTCTGGATATCGTTTTCCAAATATTTTTTCTTGCAGGATGGCTTGAAGGAGAGCATATCTGGATTTATTTCGCATAATATGTCCAAAGAAGTATAACTTTCTTGATTTGATGGGTACCTCTCGGGTCTTATTTATTCTTCTCCTCATTTGTGACTCGGTCAGTCCACGGAATCTTACGTATTCTCCGATATAGCCACATCTCTAATGCTTCCAATTTTTGCACATATCTTCCTTCAATGTCCACGATTCAACACTATAAAAAAGGACAGAGAAGACGTAGCATCCCAGCATTCTTAATTTTGTATCAAATGAGAGGTTGTGATTCTCGAAAAAGGCCCCCATCCGATTGAAGGTGGATCTGGCTTTTCCGATGCGTGCTCTAATCTCCTCACTTCAATAGATAAAGTATATCTGTCAGTGGGAAGCTCTGCTCTGTTATGTCAGTTTGTTACTGTAGATGTATATTATATCTGTATGCCAGAGGTAAAGGGCACTATGTCCATTATTGTCAATATTAAGATTATACTGCAGTTATAATGAAATTTTAATTCTCCACACATAGGTATAAAGCACTATCTGCTACTTTATAAAATAACAAATATAAGCACTTTATAAAAAGTATCATGTCAGATTTTGTTTAGAGTCAGAGGGCACCATGTGGACATGAAACCCTATACCTCTGTGTACATTGCTAACATTACAGTATCATCTAGACACAGTGCCTTAAACCCCATGTTGTAGACTAATAATTGATTGTTTATATTTTCAAATTTTGTTTAGTTATATGCAGTAAATATGTGATTATAATAAGTAAATAGAACTGAATATGGATTGCAAAAACATTCTCGTGTTGCCAAAATATTGAATTTAGCTTTACGAGAACAAAATTAAAATAATACAGGTAAGATAATATCATTATTTTTTTAGTGGTTATGTTGCGAGCTTAACAAAAGAGACAATTTAATAGCCTAAAGAAAAATGTTTGAGTAAACTTAAGATGAAGTTTGTAGATTCAAGAAAAAATATACTAAATTTAAAGTCGTGTGGAATCTTAGCTTTCATTAATAAATATTGTATGCGTTTATAGACTATATAGAATAATGTAACATATCCTAGTGAAAAATATTTAGTTTAAAAAATTGATTAGTTTAATAGTTGTTTTGAAACTCGCACGTTTATTGCATTAAATGAATAAAGTTGATTCTGAAAAATTTTATTGCCATATTTAAGTTCTTTACGGAATAACGTATCTTTAAACTATTTTTCATTATTTGAAAAATATTTGTTGAAAAGATATATTTTTCCAGATCCAAATTCTCATAATATAAAAGAAAAAACCAATCAAAATAATCCAGATGATGGACTTAATATAGACGATGACGATCCATTTTTCATAATGATGATTCCGATGCTGATATATATTATTTGCCCAGTGAGACATCTAGGGATACTGATGAAAAACTAAGATGTTTTTCACTAGATTTAAAGTCAGAAATCAGTAATGAGAGAACAGGTCACTAGTTAATAGAAGAAGCAGTAAGTTTAAAGGATTAATTAAAAAATGATCTCTATGTATCCGATGATGAAGTATGTAATAATTAGTGGTAATAATTCCAACGACGAAGATAGTAGAAATACCGACAATGTAAATGAGAAGCCAGCTAAGAAAAGGAAGTTACAAAATAAATCCAGTATTACACAAGCCGGTAAAAACGAATCCGACATTCGGGCAAATAGCTGTGTAACGTACGAAAACAAAACTCAATTTACGTCACAAGTAGTTATTAAGCTGATAACATCTTCTTTGTCTTCATGAAACGGCAACTCTTCACCACCGATCTCGAGAACTCCGTCTTTGACATTCAATACAGCCCCAACTTTCCGTAGTAAATCCATCCCCAATATGAACTCGTCGGAGATCTCTGCAATTAATACTCGATGTTTCACTGTGGTCTGGCCAATGGATACTGACATATTAGCCTCGCCATATGTATTAATTATCTCACCAGTTGCTGTTCTAAGCTTTACTGTTGCAGGCGATAA